GACAGACCTCGCTTGGGTCCTGCGTCTGTCGCTGCAGCGCGTGGAGGTCGTTCTCGGCGCGGTTGAGCTCACGGCTGGCCGCGTCCAAGCTCACCGTGTGTTGCTGCATCTGCTTGCGCAAGTGCTCGCGCTTGCCGCGGAGGTTGTCTATCAATCGATAAGCCTCATTTCGTCAGACGATGGATGCATGTGTACGCTCGTCGCGCGAGAGGGCTTGGAGCTCGTGCTTCTGGCGCTCGAGACGGTGGTTGATGTCGTTGATCTCGCCCGCATTGTCTTGCGACAAGATACGTGCGTGACGTTGCCCCTTGTTAGCAATGTAAGCCACGTTGCCGTTGCGCACGAGAAGCTTGTCGCCACTGGGCATGTAGACCTCCGAGACGCCCTGCACAAAGCGCTGTCGCCCGGACGGCCCCTCCATCGTCGCGTCTTCGGCCTCTTTGCGCGTCGGGTACACGTACTTGGACTCGATCTTGGCCACATCCACGAGCACATTATACACGTCCGGGTTGTCAATGTCCAAGAGTGAGATCACTGCATGATCGCCCAGAGGGCCACGGGGAACGTGCACATTGTCGTACCGCCGGCCGGTGCGCTTTGCGATCAAAATATTCGCTTGGCTCGGCGGAACGTTCATCTGCCGCTTGAGATTGTCCAAGACGTTCTTGTCCCGGCCGTTCGCGAGAAGATAGCTGCCAATCACGTTCTTGAGCACGACCTCGGCTGCAACCGCCTATGAATCAAAGTTGGTCATCGACCGGCGAGAGAAGGGACGTCCTACATATTGCTGATGCTCGGGCTTGAGGCTAAAGTACATGCCAAGCGGCCCAATCGGCGGCGCCGAGAACTTGTGCAGATTGTCTTGGATCGCTTGCTGGAGTCTGGGAATCTGGTTGCCAAACGCGACCAGCCTATGCCATCAGTCTTCGTCGGCACGTTCGAGCTCATGGAAAACCTACTTGTTTTGACTCTGCGACTCGAGCGCGCGTAGGCGCGAGGTCAGACGCTCAACCTCGCCGCTCGCCTCGCGCTTTTGCTGGCTGCACGCCACGTACTGGCCTTCGACGTCGTCAAGCTCGGCTGCAAATTCTTCCATCGGCTTGGACTAGACCATGAGGATATATGAGATCACCGCCGAATTGTACCATATATATGTGAGTGAATGCACCTCGATCTCCCGCTTCTTGGCTTGCACACGATGAAGGTGTTCCTGGGCGCGCTGGATGCCTTCGGCTTGCTGCGCTTGCTGCTTCTCAAGTGACCGGAGGTACAGTTGGTACTTGGCACGGCGCTGCTCCTTCTCGTGCTCGATGCGCTTCAAGCGTGCTTGCGCCTGTCGAATCTGGTGCTCCATCGCGTTCTTGGCTACACATCGTTATCGATTCAGCCTCGATGCATCGAGAACGAGATCTCTACCCGCATGCTTCTTCTGGACGGGCAGCCGCAGCTCGCGGATCTCTTGCTGGAGCGCTTGTTGTTGGCGCTGAAAGACTTCCTTCTGCGCATCGACCTCCTGGAGCGCGTTGTTCTTTGCCGACTGCTCGGCCGAGCGCGCGTCGACCACTTGTTGTCGTCGCAGCACCTTCTCGGCAGCGACTTGCTGCAAGTGCATGACTTGGTCGAGCTAAGACTAAGATACGCATCCCGATCATGGAATCAAAGGAGGGATACCTGTGCTTGGACGTCTTGGAGCGAGAGTTCCTGGGCGTTGACAAAGGACCAGGCCAGCGACTGCTTGAGGCCGACGAGCTCCTCCTTCAAGTGGCCAATCTATCGTGATAAGAATGAGCACATGGACGTGCGAGAGACCATTCATTGCGTACGCTCTTGGCTTCTTCGTAGAGGCGCTCGGCCTCCTCCTTGGCCTTGAGGAGCGTCTTGAGCTTGCGCTCTTCCTGGACAAGCGTCGCCTCCTGCCGCAGGCGCGTTTCGTCTTCGACTTTGGCAAACGTGGCGCGCATCTTGTAGAGATCCGTCGATTGCAAGAAGAACTAATTGCATCCGATGATTGCTCGAGGCTGCACCATGGGATACATCGTACCTTGTACTTGTCGGTCGGGTCGCCTTTGAGGAAGAGCTTGGCATTCTCTTGGTCAAGCACGGCGCAGGGGTTCTCAATCTACGGCCAGTCGAATAAGGTCATGTACATGCGCATCTGTCTACCTGGATGTTGAGATGGTCGAGCATCGCGTCGAGGTCCGCCTTGAGCTTCGAGACGACCTTGCCATGCTCGTTCTTGAGGCGGTACTCGGCCGTGCCATCGCGACGGATGAGGCGCTCGACCATGATGCGCTTCCCAAACGACTCGGGGCGGAACGCGTCCGTGCCTTGGGCTAGTCAAGAGCAGCCTTTGAGGCCAATATCCTACGTCCATGTGTCTACCGTCGTTGAGGAGTGTGATGCGCACGATTGCATTGCCATCGTGGCCGTTGCGGATGAGGTTCTTGATGCTCTTGCCGCGATGGGTCGCGCGGGCCGACGCACCGAGGCAGATCTGCAGCGCGGCAATGATCGCACTCTTCCCGCTGCCGTTCTCGCCCGTGATGAAGTTGATGTTGCGGCAGAGACGGATGCACATACGGCGATGGCACATGAAGTTCTCGCAGTAGATCTCCTCGATGATGCCCATCTCGGAGGCGGTTGCCGGCTCGGCTTGGCTCGGGCTCGGGCTTATCGCGACCGCGCTGTTCCCGTCCTCGTTCTCATCGCCCTCGTCCTCGTACTCGTCCTCGGAAGGGTTCACGAGCTCATCTTCGTCGGCCGTCATGCGCATGGCGGCCCGGCGCGGGTCGTCCGTCGCATGGAGTTTCCTCGCCTTCGTCGCCATCGGGCCGTTGGAACTTTGCTCAACGTACAAAATAGGAGTACTTTTTTACGATATTTTATTCGGCATACAAACACCAAGCTTACTGTCATGGAAAAACATTTAATGGCGAGCGACCGCGATGCGATTGGCCATTGTGGTCTCGCGCCAATTTTAATTTAGAACGGGCGTGAATGGCTAAACGCACGCACCGTGGTTTGATACAGATTGCAAGATGTACGATCATACCTCGACCGTCAAGTTTCAAAGATGGCTATTCGCACGCAGAATAAAAGATCGCGCGCGAAGCGAAGCGGTGTCAATGGCGCGGGCAGCATGCGCGCTAGCAACACACCCAAGCACGTAGGATCCAAATACAAGGAGTCTGTACATGGACGAGGCGACTTCACTTCCCCGGTTGTAGTGCCCTGGATATTGTCCGGCCATTTCGCTGCCAAAAGCGAAAACCTGTGGCAATCGATATACAATATGAAAGGTTTCAATCCTGCATGGTGATTCGCTGAAATGCAAATGATTATGCGCCAATGACAGAGCCGTCTGCACAGTCTGCACCGCAGGGTGTGATCGTTCGGTGGGATGCAGCTCAGGTATGAACACTTCAACCGACATTGCAGCAGTGACATTAGAAGCCATTGTACTTGTACCCATACTAACGTACGTGGTCGGTGATGCGGCGCTGATAGGATCTCTGCAACATGGTCGCTGCCTGCGCCTTTGCCCGGTGACGTGGCGCCACCACCGACAGTGTCCAGCAATTCTCAATCAAGATGCAAGAGCAGCGCAGCTCGAAGACTAGCTTTCACCAAAGAGATAATTTGTTCTACTAACGTACTTGGTCCGTACAACGCAGCGCGGTTACGAGCCTCCCAACGTGGCCACTGGTTGCGTCTATGACGTGGCCGCTGGTACTAGGATTGGCATTTACACACTGGTGCAAGCGTTGCTTGTTGGCGTGGCCTGCTGCAGTGCATTGTCCAGATCGATGACACGCTTGCAGTTTGGGTGCAAATAGTCGTCTTACGAGAATTTACAGTGATAGTATGCTGTACACACTTGTTAACTGTATTGCCTTGAGTAGTGTGTAATTAGACAATTGCGTCGGGTCCGAATTGAAATGGCAGCGAGACCGCCATTGCTTCATCGCTCCTCAGTCATGCTCATGCTGCAGCAATCAACCACAGCCACGGTGCTCATCTCAGCCAGTGGGCCAAGGTACGCCATCATTGGCTAAAAGCACACAGCCGTTTACATACAGTGGGCAAGTAAGGTCGTTATCTACAACACTACATTCTCGAAATATGACTAAATACACCCAATCGTGCATAGGGTCTGTGCAGGAAGCCGGCAATGGTTTTTAGCCGTCTGCCGCAACCACACACTGCAATGAGAGACCACAAGCACAGATGAAAGGGCTCGTCAACACCGAAGCTAGTTACCGAAGCTATCGGTCGTAGCTTGCAAAATAATGTAGTACTGGTAGTACTGTAGCAATCGTACGTCGCCGCAAACACCTGTAGCAATGCGTGCTGCAGAGTATCGAATATGAGAGGCTCTTCTCAAACGACTGCTTATTGGCTGAAACGCTCGCATTATACAGCCAATCCGCTTGTCGCTTGCGTTATCCGCACAGCCAAGATTCAAGCCGCGTCCTCGGCCGCCATCGGCGCCGCCGCCATGGAGCTACCCGGCGTCACTCACTGCACGCGCTTGGCCTCGCCCCTCTCTATATGTATCTATTGTCTCGGACGCGCAGGCCGGCGACGCGTAGCCGCTTGGTTCCATGCCTGCCCTTTCCGGAGCGACAGGGAGGTATGGAAAGGGTTCTGCCATCGTATTTGCGGGCTCATTCCGCGATTCGCCTGCAATGGCCCACTCCAGCTTGACGACCGACTGTGCTACGGACCTAGCGTTCATGGCCGCTCGGCTCTACATCCGCAACACCGTGCTTCCTGCGCCTGCGTTGACCACACCGATCGACAGTCGTGCGCCTCGTGCGACGGGCGCCAAGGAGACATGCGCTGACGTTGGACACACGACGCCGTCCGCGGTCGTGGTAGGCTTCCCGGCGCCGGTGCATCTCCATGGCGACGATTCGCACCGTGCTCGTGGACGAAGCCTCTCGTGCGCTGCGGAAACCTCTGCTCGACAACAGCCCGCGCCGCCAAGTATCGAAGAGATGAACGCGTACCGCATGACCTTGCACGCGACGCGCGAGCAAGTCGCTGCGTTGAAAGCGCGTTTGGCCCGCCGGGACGAGACCATCCGCCGCCTCGCGCGGCATCATCGCCCAGGCTCTCGCTCCAAGCATCGCGACCAGCAAGAAGCAGCGGTCCGCGACACCGTCGTGACGCACCTTCTCGCCCGCAACGCGAACCTCGAGAGCACGGTCGCCATGCTTCGCTCGGCGCTCGACGATGCGCAAGCGACGGCCGACGCCTTGGCCACGCGCACGTCGTCGACGCCACCCCACGACTACCAATGGTACTGACTCTACGCGATCGTCCTGACGGCTCCATCTCGTGACTACACTGTAGCTAAGTCGGACGCGAAGATCGCATTCTTGTACTCTAGTGCAAACGAACGTAACCAAAGTCCCTGTACCTATCTTGATCTTTTAACATGGAGTCGGTGTCGTGGCTTGGTCGTCCGCGCATCGGAGCATCGCAGGAGCGGGTCGAAGATGTCGCACTTCATGTTGGTTTACTCGCCATTTAGGGCCCTGAGTCACCCTTTGTCACGACTGCAAAGATCTCTCGGAGCTGCAATAACCTGAACGGAACGGGCTCGTATACGCGCTATGTGGGTAGGAGGGTAGGGTTGTGGCGGCGCTGACGTCCTCTTTCCCAAGACAGGTCGAGCAGTGGCGTGAACAAGTCAATGTAGGTCCGACCAACTTTGGCTGGCGGATCTATGTATTGCGAGCGTCGCAAGCATTCTCAAAGATTCACGTTGTGCTGCTCCCGTCGTATCTAGACTCGGCGAATGAGCACGTCCCATAGTACACCTCTCAGACCCGGTGCGTATACGTATACCGCATCCAATCGCGTCGATGCCACGCCTTGTCAAGGGCGAGCCCGAGCTCTGAAGAATGCTGGACGAACCGACGCGCTCTTGGGGTAGATAGGCAAGACGCTCAGTCGAACAGAGCGATGCTGTGACGTCACGTGTGTTGAGGGCACCACGGCGAGGGGTTGTATTCTACTAGTACTGCCTGGCCAAGCCGCCGACGCTCGCCTGCTCGCGAAAGCCAGCTACGACACAGTACATTTCCTGGTCCGACTTGGAGCAGCTTGAGCTCGTTGAGGCGGCAGTGCTCCTGTGCAAAGTGTGAGAAGATTTGCTTGTCCACGGCGCCGTGACGTCATGAGTCGGTGGCCAAGATACCCAACTCTGGCATCTGATTGGCTGAATGCCTGTCGGTTATAAATACCGATTGGCGGACTTGAAGTTGGCTGCATACGTAAACGGTGGGCGCATGGCCGTCGTCTGCGGTCAAATCTCATCTTCCACGCCGCTGGGATGCTCGCCGCCCGCTTCGCCTCGCTGCGCTCGCCGCTCGCGCGCGCCTTCTCCTCTAGCTCGGTGCAGCAGCTCTTCCAGGCCAAGATTGCGCTCGGGAAGACGCTGCCGCCTCTCGACGACAACGCGACCAAGCTCAAGATGTACGCGCTCTTCAAGCAGGCGACCGAGGGTAGCTGCACGTCGCCCAAGCCGGGCATGCTCGACTTTGTCGTACGCCACCTTTATCAGTCGACGGCGCCTCTCATGCGATGGATGCAACGTAGGGCAAGGCCAAGTGGGAGGCGTGGACGAGCCTGAGCAGCCTCTCGCAGGCCGACGCCATGCAGCAGTATGACGACTACGCCACCGATATCCTCGTCATCGTCTGAGTATATAGGTACTGCGACTTTATCGATGGCTTGGCCGCCGAGGCCGGCGTCGGCGGCGCGGCTGCATCGACGCCCGAAGCCGATCTGCTCTCGACGCTCAGCGCCGACGGCGTCCTCACCCTTGAGCTCAACCGCCCGAAAAAATTCAACGCGATCAACATGGCCATGTACGAGGAGATCATCGCCGCGCTGACCAAGGACGACCCGGCGGTCCGTGTCATTTTGCTCAAGGCCAAAGGCCCCATGTTCTCCAGTACACTACGACATTCGCATCCTTCTTGACGTGCCATGTCAACTAGGCGGCAACGACCTCGCCATGTTCAACGTCAACTACCCCGGCGGCGTCGAGAAGCTCGCGGCCGACGCGGCCAAGATCCTCGAGCGCTTTGTCGACGCGTTCTTGACGTGCAAAAAGCCGATTGTTGCTGCGGTGCACGCGCCCGCGATTGGCATTGCCGTCACGATGCTCGGTCTCTGCGACTTTGTGTTTGCGCACGAGCGGGCGACCTTCCAGACGCCGTTCACTGCGCTCGGCCAAGCGCCCGAAGCGTGCTCGTCGGTGGTGTTTCCTGCGCTCATGGGCCGCACGCATGCGAACGCGATGCTGCTTCTTGGCCAAAAGCTCTCGGCGTCGACGGTACTGAAAACCGTGCGTACTTGGTCGGTTCATCTCCGTGTAGGCGGCGCAGCGGGGGTTGGTCACGGACGTCTACGGCGCCGATTTCGAAGCGCAAGTCGCGGGCCACGTGCAGTACGTCACAGTTGTTTGTACAATAAACAAAATATGCATGATTAGGACGCTGGCCAAGGCGTACCCAAACTCGATGAAGCAGTCCAAGGCGCTCATCCGTGGGATCGACCTTGCCACGCTCCAAGCTGTCAACAAGTAGGCCATGGGATTCCGTCGAGATGGCTACACAGTGTCGTAGGCGTGAGTGCCAAGAGCTCCAGAAGCTCTGGCTGTCGCCCGAGTGTTTGGACGCGGTTAGCAAGTTCTCCAGCCGCAAGTAGCCGCCGACCTCGCGAGCTTGCCAGGGAGAGGACGCAGGACAAGATGCCACACTTTCTCGTACGGCAGTGCTAGCTCAAGATGGAACCGAGTAGGCACCAATCTGGATGACAAGATAAAGCTTGAACGCGATACCTCGAGCGACGACAAGCCCAGCACGTCCCACGAGCGCATTGTACCAGCTGTGGTGGACTCTACGCTTTGACGGCCGCACGCATCGACAAGTTGCGTGATGAGACGTAGACGTAAGCGGTGGCTGTGACTCGCGCTGCACCCACGCTGCTTGAAGCAACCTTGAGCAACGTTGGGCTGACGACGCTGTGATGTGTGGTCCCGACTATGGTGCGATCACGTGCTGGCGACAGCTGCTACCGTGGTCACGCGTGACTAGCAGCCACTTGTCAGCAGATGGTAGCGAGGTTGAGGGCGATCGCAATGTATCAACGCACTCGGTACACACCACGTCTCACACCACACATTCTGCAAGGAACCAAGGTTACTACGGACGGCCATGACGCGTTGGACGTGGCGATCGCAGCTTGGCCGCCTCTACTTGGTATGGCGTGATCGCAGGCGCCTTCTCTATGATAAGGATCACTGTTTGCCGTTGCCAGCTGCGTCGACTCACGTGGGTGCGTCACCGACTGTGCTTTGGTGCGGTGCCGATGTAAACGTGGCCATATATACGACCAGGTAGACACGAGGTAGCTCACAGAGCCGAAATTTGATCTTGCGGCTTCGAATCCCACTTTCGAGTTCACAAAATTTGTGAACTCGACGGATTTAATCATATAGTTTGCTCCTTTTCGTTGCGAATCGCAGCACGGTATCCCACGCGCAGTAGCATTTCCCTTCCCGATGGGTTGGTCGCATGTACCGTTTTGCTTCCAGGTCCAGCTACAGACCGACGTTGAGAGGCCATCCTGGCCAAGACGGCAGAGCCCACGACGGCTATCGCAGTGTGCTCCTTACGTCGACACTTGCTACAAGTTGCCGCAGCTGCCATGGCCAGCAGGTGCTTCGAATGCGTCGCTAGCTACTTCTACGGTCAACCACCCCGCCTCTACGTCCCAGATTGCCCTTTGTAGACAGGCGGTGCGCGTGTTGCTGTCTCGTGGCCACGCGTTGGTGCTCTCCCAAGCTACCTATATTGCAATTGACGATCGCATGGACAGTGGCAAGGGCATCTACCTGTATACCCCCGAAGCCGATGTGCTGGCGACGCCGACGCCCAAGCGGCAGACCGAGTATACGACGCCGACGCGCGACCGCCGGGGCTCCCAAGGACTCCTCAGCGTCGTCTCGTCCAACAGCAGCAACGGTCGAAAGGCGCCACCGCCCGAGATGTACAACTTGCGCACCAACTTCAAGACGACACCCAACCACAGCGAGGCGTCGCTCCCGGCCACGCCACCAGTGACGCTGCTCGACTTTCACGGCGACCCGATCATGGAAGAAGAAGACAAGTCGTCGCCACTGCACCCGACGTACGCACGCAAGACGGCCGGTCTCTCGTCGTCGCTCTGGATCCTCATCGCAGCCGTGATGGGCGTCGGGCTCGGCCTCGGTCTCGGGAAGCTCGAGCCGTCGCCTGACACGCTCGCGTGGATCGCGCTGCCTGGTGACCTCTTTGTCCGCGCCCTCAAGTGTCTGATCGTGCCACTGGTGTTCTGCACCATGACGGTCTCGATCGCCGAAGTCATCGAGCTCAAGCGCACGTCGCTGCTCACGTGGCGGACGGTCGGCATCTTCCTCCTTACCTCGTTTCTCTCAGCGTGTCAAGGCCTCGGCGCAGCGCTCATCTACCGGAGTCTCCTCACGGCGCGCAGTGCTGTCCAAGCCAGCGCCACAAGCACGGGGCCGGTCGTGGCCTTCCAATGTGCGAACGGGCTCTTCCTGCATACGTACGAGAATGGGTCGGTCGCGTGCGCGGCGGCGACGAATGCCACGGCCAACGAAGTGTTTACCGTTTTGGACGTCAACGGCGCGCTCAACATTGCCCAGCCGCTGGCCGCCACGAGCTTGTCGCTGACGCAGCAAGCGATCGCCATCATCGACCAAGCCGTGCCCGACAACATCTTTCAAGCGCTGAGCCAAGGCACGCTCCTCAGTGTGATTGCATTCGCGGTCCCGCTCGGTGTCGCGGTCGCACGGTCGCACAACAGCAGCATGCCGGGCCCGAACGAGCTCCTCGCGGTCTTCCGTCAAGCGCGCAACGCGCTACTGCTGCTCGTGACGGGCACACTGCGCTTTACACCGATCGCTGTGCTCTTCCTCTTGGCAAATGCAATGGCTACGTACACGAAGGCGTCGTCTTCCTTTGCGTCCCACGCCGGCTACGTCGTCCTCTGCTTCTTTAGCGTCGTCGTCACGCACGTGGGCATCGTGCTCCCACTGGTCATGTACCTCTTGATTCGCGTCAACCCGTATGCGTACATGAAGCAGCTTGTGCCGGCGTACGTCTTTGCGTTTGGCTGCTCGTCGTCGATGGCGACGCTCCCGGTGGCCGTCACGGTCATTCACCAGACGCGCAAGGTGACGCGGTCGACGGCGCAGCTCATCATGTGCCTCGGCACACCGACCAACATGAACGCTGCCGGGCTGTACCACCCGCTCATGGTCGTCTTCATGGTGTACATGGAAGGCATGCTGAGCGAGCTCACGACGCCGAAGCTCGTGATCCTCTTTTGCATCAGTCTCGTCGGCTCCATGGGCACTGCACCGGTTCCCAATGCCGGCTTGATCATGCTCTTGACTGTGTGGAAGACTGTGTTTCCAACGGCGCCGCTCCCCCACTCGTTTGTCTATGTGGTCGCAATGGACTTTCTACTTGGCCGCATCCGCGTCATGGTCAACGTCAACGGCAACATGATGGCGACGCGCATCTTGGCCCACGGCCTCGACGAGCACTCGACCGACGAAGAAAATAACTATGCGTAACCTTGTGCGCAGTCCCTGTACAGTAGAATGTACACATATATCAATGTATCAATGTAGTGTAGTGAATCGATACGTCGTCTTGTGGAACGACGGACACCTTGTCTGTGGTGGCGGCGCGCGGCCGTGTGCATGCAGTATGGCAACCAGAGCGACAAAAATTGTGTTGAGTAATGCAGCCTCGTACCTCTGGAAGACGACTATTTGTCCGATGGAGTCGGCAACGAGATACGGTGTCTTTACCAGTACCCATGCCCACTTCGAATGCCTGCGATCAACGGTGGAGAGGCACCACGTGTTGGTGACGCGCTCGACGCAAGGTTCCGAAGCCCAATGAGCTCATTCGAGGAGATGCAAGTATTGGCATCTGCAGTGACGGCAACAGCTCTCCAAGCACCGCTTTGGTCACATCATGCTGCGTCGACCACGGCTTTAGAACCTCGACGACGACTCGTACTAGCGCATGCTAGATAATGACGAAGCCAATCTTGTAGGGGTAGGGCGGGGTTAGGGCTTTTCCGTTACACCAAGCAAGTGCGCGCATGGCGTCAACTCTGCGCTACTAGTCAACGAACCCGTCTGCTCCAACAAGTTGGTCGAGTCCTTACTCTTCCACCACCTTACGTACACGCCTGGGAGCTAGCGCGATCTCGCAACAGCGACACCCGGCACGCCAGCGTCCCGTCCGCACCACAGTATCCAGCACCCCACCTGCATCCCTTGACGCCAAAGGCCATATCCAGTCGGCGCATACATTTGAGTAGGAAACAAACCATGCATACAGGCTGTGAGTTACGCAGCCTTTAGGTGCTCATGCTCATGTTGCGCAGCGCAATGGCGGCCGACGTGGTCTCTTTGAAGAAGGCCGCATCGAGGGTCGCAAGAACACCGTGGGCATTGCCGTGCATGGCATCGTCAAAGACATAGTCGTACGGCGTGCCAAAGATGTTGGTGACATGCCCGCCCCACGCGGTCAAGAAGGCTTCGCCGACGCAGATGTCCCACTTCTTCGTGCGCGGAATCCAGCGGGCGTACGCGACGCAGCGCCCGAGGACCACGTCCAAGATGAGGATGCCCGTCGCGCCCTTCTCCCACCGGCCATGCGTGCCGCTCGCCTCGCCCGGCGCGAGAAGCGCGTCAATGTACGCACAGCGCGTCTCGGAGATGCCCCAGCGCTGGACGTGTGGCGGCATCGACGGGCGTGGCACGGACGCAAACTGCCACTGCGTGGCATCGAGCGAGAGCAATGGGCAGACCAAGACGTCGTGGACGAGCGGACCGCCTAGCACACGCGTATCGTCGACCTCGATGCAAGAATACGCAGTGAAGATGCAAGAATACGCAGTGAAGAGTACCGTAGTAAGTCGTGCCAAGGCTGCCCACGAATGGAAGGTGCATGACGCCGACGAGCGGCCGCCCCTTGTGCGAGAGGCCAATGAGCACCGAGACTTGGTCGTACGCCTGCTCTGTAAACTTGCGCGTACCATCGAGCGGATCGATCCACACAATGAGGTCGGCCGCTGCCAGCGCCGCGTATGAGCCAGCGACGAGCGTTGTATCCGGGGTCATGACGTCCTCGGGCATCGGCGGCTCCAGCACGCCTTCTTCACCCACAATCTGCAGCGTCGAGCCAAAATGCGCGCGCAGCGACTCGACGATGCGCTGCTGCGCCCGGCGGTCGGCCACCTACAGGCGGCTAAGCGTCGGCGCGAGGCTAGGTGGGCGTACCGTCTGCGGATCGAAATGCACGATGGCCCCGTCGGCCTTGTTGACCATGTCGAGGTCTTGGCCCGAGCGCACGACGTCGCGGATGACGGCGCCGGCGAACGCACTCAGATGCAAGCACGCGGAGAGGAGCTCGTATGCATCAAAGGATGCCATCGCTGCAATGCCACGCCGCCGCCGATCTTGCCGCGCTACTGTCAAAGTCGATGGCCCACTTGGGTGCGTATGCGTTTATAGAGGTTCTATGGTGCACGTCGAGCACGTGTTTCCCACATGTGTAAAATATATACCACCACGCTGTGTAAAATGTCGTGGACAAACGAAGCGAGGTCTCGACGGAAAGCGCTGACATTTCCGTTCTGTTCGTAGATGAATGGATAGATGAATGGGTAGATGAATGGATAGATGGATTTCTCCAAGTGACTTTATGCACTAGATGATGTCGTGGCGTCGACGAGGCCCGTGCAACCATTGTGAGCTCGAGTGACGTCGGTCGATTCACAGCCAGGCAGCGCGCGGCCCACTCCAGCACGACTGCAGGCGTATGCGAGTCCGACTTGGTACTACGTGACGTTAAACTACACTTTGCTGCTAAAGGTCTGGGTCCATTACGTCCTGGACGAGGCTCGTGGGTGCAGAGCTCGATGAGCAAAATACCTATGGCGTTACCCTGGCCACGGTACGTGCATGTACCTGTCCTCAACAGACAATATAACGCACCAAACGAGTCGATATCTGTCGCGTCCGAGTACCCGCTGCCAGTAAGAGCTTCGGTTGCCGTACACGATGCCACGGCAGCACTGTCAACAGTCGACGGGTCAAGCGTGCGCGATGCAAGTGTTCTTTAGTTTCATGCCCTTGGCCGAGTCCAAAGGTCATTTTTAGCTTGGACGTCACCGTGGATGATCGGCGGGTCGAGCATGTGGAGGTACTAGTAGGCCAAAGCCGATGCTCTGGTCGCAGAGAGTCTCATCGTTCCACGTAAACTGCGTCGCATAATGGGTCGCGAGGTAGCTTCCGAGGTCGCCAAGGTTCATGTACTCGACAACGCACTCGATATCGATTGGCTGCCCCCAGCTAACGCCAATGAATGTGACAATGTACGGGCTCTCCAGTCTACAGGAACGTTTCATTGGGGTGGTTAGGGTAAGTGGCGACGAGTGAAATCTCCGTGATGAAGTGTTGGACCGAGATGTGGTCCTTGTGCAGATTGCGTCGAATCAGAATCGGCTCGTCGTTGTGCGTCCCACACCAAACCTAACCATGGATCCCGACACCAGGGGTTTCTTGACGAGGCTTGCTGTAGGTGCGGGTCGAGCTTCAAGTAGAGCTCGCCAGCGAGCAGCAACGACGCCATCGTGGTCCCAGTCGCCGTGTCGCGCACTCGTTTTCGAAGTCGGCGATAGACCAGTACTAA